TTCAGTGGTAAGAAGAATCACTAAATGAAAAAACATTTTAAAAACATTTAATGACTAAAGAAAAAAAGCTTCAGTGATGGTTTTGTTTTAAGAAAGAAAAATATCTTATATGGATATATTTTCATAAAACAGTCAGTGACATGAGAAACACTGAAACCATCTTTTAAAAACTTTTGAATCACCAAAAGAAGAAAGGTTCAGTGATCATTTTGATTTTAAGAAAAGATAAGTATTTTGGACACGTATACTTATTTGAAAATGTTCGGTGAAAGAAAGAATCACTGAAGCAAACTTTTAAAACATTTTCATCACTGAAGAAGAAAAACTTCAGTGATAGTATTAAGTTTTAAAGAAGAAGAGCGAGTATACATACCTTTGAGAGAAGAGATATATTTACTCAAGAGTTTAGTGATAGAACGAGAGCACTGAATCATTTCACTTACTGATTGATGCGTATAACTGAAGAAAATAAATCTTCAGCGTTTAGCATTCCAAGTTCGCTGATCAAGATGTTAAATCTTGTCTCATCAAGAGGTTTTCTGAAAAGGTCAGCGAGTTGGTAATCAGTGGGAACAAAGTGAAATTCAATATTACCATTCATAATGTGATCTCTGATAAAATGATATCTGATCTCAATATGTTTGGTCTTGGAGTGAAGAATAGTGTTTTTTGCAATAGCAATAGCACTAATGCTATCACAATAGATAGGAATCTTCGAAAACTAAAGATCGTAGTCATTGAGTTGGTTTTTCATCCAAAGGACTTGGGCACAACAACTTCCAGCCATTACTTATTTAGCTTCAGCGGTTGATGCGAACACTGAGTTTTTCTTCTTACTTATCCAGCTCACCAACTTTCCACCTAGAAGCTGACAGCCTCCAGTGGTGCTTTTTCTATCAATTTTGTAACCTGCAAAATCACTATCCGAGTAACCTATTAGGTCAAAACTTGAACCCTTAGGGGTACCAGAGATCCAAGTTGGGAGTTTTCTTCAGGTATCTGAAAATGCGTTTTACAGCAATCAGATGGGATTCCTTAGGTTTAGATTGATATCGTGCACATAAGCAAGTAGAATACATGCTATCTAGTCGACTAGATGTAAGATACTGCAGGGAGCCAATCATTCCTCTATAAACAGTTACGTTTACAGACTTTCTATTTGGATCCTTGTTGAGAGAAAGAGGAGGAGCCATTGGAGTTTTCATAGATGAGCTATTAGATAGATCAAACTTTTTTAGCATATCACGGACATACTTACTCTGACTGTTAAAGATACCTTTATCTGATTGCTTAATCTGGAGACCTAAAAAGAAGGTTAGTTCTCCCATCATACTCATCTGGTATTCTTTCTTCATGTGATCAGTGAACCAAAAACATAAAGAGGGATTAGTGGAACGAAAAATAATATCATCGACATATATTTGAACTATAATGCTATGACCTTTAACATACCTGAAAAATAAGGTCTGGTCAATCTTTCCACGGACAAATTTCTCAGAGATGAGAAATAAGGTGAGGGTATCATACCAGGCACGGGGAGACTATTTTAACCCATAAAGAGCTTTATCCAAATGATAGACATGGTTTGGATACTTAGGGTCAAGAAACCCTAGAGGTTGTTCAACATAAACTTTCTCTTGGAGTTTTCCATTTAGGAAAGTGCTTTTAACATTCATTTGGTAGACTTTGAAGTCTCTATGAGCAGCAAAGGCTAGAAAGAGTTGAATAACTTCGAGTCTAACCACTGGTGCGAAGGTTTCGTCATAATCGATCCCTTCTTCTTGTCTATAACCCTAAGCAACAAAACGAACCTTGTTACGGGTTACTACACCTTCTTCATCTAACTTGTTGCGATAGACTCATTTGGTGTCTATCACAGTTTGTCAAATGAACATGGGACAAGGTACCAGACTTTGTTCCTATCAAACTCAATGAGCTCCTCTTGCATGGCAATGACCCAACTAGCATCATTGATTTTATTGGGTTCAACTAAAGAAAGGAAGTTGAAAAAGATACTAATATTACCTAGACCACGACGAGTCTGAATACCTGCACTTGGATAACTAGGAATTTTGATGAATAGGATGGTCTTTTGTCCATCGTTGAGCTAGTAGAGGATTATCATCTGAGCATTGATGTTTAGGAATAGAAGATGAGGCTTCAACTGTAGATTCTTTAGCAAAAGGGACAATTGCCAAAGGAGCCTCAGATTCAGCAACTGATAAAGGTTCAGATGTTGAGGGCATTTCATTCACTAATTGATTAGTGTTTGAAGTAGAGGGAGGAACGCAACTAATGGGCACTGCAACTATCTCCGAAAAAAATTCGGTTCAGTGATTAGCTTCAACTGGAATGATAAGTGGATCATCTTCACCTTCTGGGGCTTTAGGGTTGGGTGGATTGCTGAAGGAAGCTTCAGGTTGTCCAACGTGAGAGAACATCCAGTTTTCTAATTCTTTGTCATCATTTATGATAGGTTTAGAATTAGATGATTGAGATTCATCAAAGGTGACATGAATAGTTTCTTCTATTTTTTGTTGGCGTTTGTTGAATACTCTGAAAATTTTGGACACTAAAGAATATCCAAGAAAGATTCCTTCATCATCTATGGGATCGAACTTTCCGAGTTGATCATAGTTGTTGAGAATATAACACATGCAACTAAAGATATGTAGAAAGCTGAGAGAGGGCTTTCTGCTATGGAAGAGTTCGTAAGGTGTCTGCTTGAACCTCTTAACAATTAGCGACCGATTTTGAGTGAAACAAGCAGTGTTGACAACTTCAGCCCAGAAATGAGTGGGAAGATGAGATTCGTAGAGCATTGATCTAGCAGCCTCAATGATTGGATTTCTCTTTTCAGTGACCCCATTTTGCTAAGGAATTCTCACAGAAGAGAAGTTATGAGAGATTCCCTTGTCCTCAAAAAAGTTATCCATTGTACTATTTTTGAATTCAGTTCCATGGTCACTTTCGATAGATCGTACTTTAACATTATTAAGTACTTCTGTTTTTTTGATGAACGATGTTATTTCTTCAGGTGCTTCACTACTGGATCTGAGAAAGAAGACCCAAGTGTACCTGGAGTACTCTTCAACAATGACGAGTGTATACTTCTTTCCAGCAATGGATTGCATGTTCATTGGACCAAAGAGATCCATGTGCAGTAGCTGAAGAGGTGATGTCACTGAAGAGATTTGCTTGGACTTGAAGCTAACTCTTGTCTGTTTTCATTTCTCACATGCTGAGCAAAGAGACTCCTTTGCAAAGGTGTGTTGAGGAAGACCAGTGACGAGATCATTTCTAGACAACTTGTTGACTGTCTTGAAGTTAAGGTGAGAAACATGCTTGTGCCACAGCTACTTGATATCTGTCGAAGCTTTAGAGGGAAAACAACTATTCTCAGTGAGAGGAGAATCCATGTTGATGATGTAGACATTCTCTAGACGAGAGCCGGTTAGAAAAAACCTTATCATCCTTGTCATAAACATAGCATGAATTCTTAAAGAACTTCATTGTGAAATCTTTATCACACAACTGACTGATGCTGAGTAGATTATGCTTCAATCCTTCAACATATGCAACATGCCCGAAAGTGATTGCACCATTGGTCAATACACTAAAACCTTTGGTATATCCTTTTCCGTTTCCTCTAAAGGTCACGGAAGGGCCTCTTTCATCCTTGTAGTCGATGAGTAGAGATTTGTCTCCAATCATATGTCTTGAGCATCCATTATCGAGATACCAAATGTCTTTGACTTCCTATACTAGGGAACAGTTTAAAAATTCTTTGGTACCCATTCTATTTGGGTCTAGCAATGTTAGAGGCAACATCTACTAAAACTGAAGAATCAATGTCAGCAGAAGGTGTTGATCTTCTCTCTCAGTGATTTGATGATTGTTAAACCCAGATCTGACAGTAGAGTAATGTAAAAGAATTTAAAAAGAGATTTGTAGAAGAAGAAGAATAGAAATCGTGTGACATCCGTCATTTTTGGGCGTCAGGTTAGCACCTTATAGGATTTTTAAAATTAAGAATTATATTAGGATCTAGTCATGTTGATTAGAATTCATCTGCCTTAGTTCCCAAAATATAGTTCAGAAAATCATATTTCGATGGGTAACTAATAAAATTAACTTATGTAATGCCAAATTCATTAAAATTCTCCAAACAAAATAAAGTTGATATTATAAAACTCCAAATTAAATTATAAAAAGTTTTATTTGAATGTCCAAATAATTTTACAAAAATTTGGAATTTTGAACTATTACTGATATTTTATCAGTATTTGTCAATTATATTTAAGTTTTACTTTAAATGGGCCTTATTTTAATAAAAATAAAAATAAACAAGTATGGACTTGGGCTCTAATAAGGTCAGCCCAATTCTTTTCTTTAAACCCACATATAAATGCTCCATATTCTTTGAAAACTCCCATTTTTCATCCTCATTTTGCATAAACATTTTCTCTCACTAACCTCTCCCTCTCTAAACCATAACCCTCCAGCCGATTTCATCTTCAAACATCATTAAAAATATGTCAATCTTGATGAATATTCAAGATTTGAAGCAAAAGGTAATAGACTAGTTATCTTACCTTTATACCATAACAAAGATTCTCATTTTTTACACCTTCTTAATTTTGTAATTAATTTTTTTCTGGAGAATTCAAAAGGGGAGATTATACATTAAAGACATGAAAATGTCTTCAAAATGATGATAATCTATGATCCACAAACTTAGAACTCTAAGAAAATAGGATAAAACTGTAAGATTTATTTAATTAATATGGCCTAAACTATTAATATCATTATATAAATAAGTTTATTAATCCATAATTAATCTCTTATTATTAATTATTCCCATATTTATATGCAGGTCCTCTAACTATTGTGATGGTCAATATTGGTCCCTGTGTATTAATTATTTATATGGTGGTTATCTTTCATTTATGTTCTCTAATTGCCCTAATTCTAAAAACTCTCTCTCTCTCTCTCTGGAAACCGACGACAGCACCATTCAAGGGATAAAAATTGAGAGTTCATCAAGAACACATACAACAATTAATCCATCATCATTAAGGGTAATTAAGAGGACTATTGAAGGATAATCAATGGCGTCTTCATCTTCTACAAATCAACATCCTATGAACTTCTCTTCAAGTATGTATCTTTATTCTCATCTCTTATTAAGAATTATGAGATTGATCCTGTTAATATGTTTGATTSAATTAACATGTGGTATCAGAGCATGGTTTGATAGTGATTTGACCTATATCTGATGACCCTTTACTTGATTTTTCTTCACAAATTTATTCGCATATGAAATTCTGATAATTATGAACCCTAATTTATTAAAATTGAGATGGTTTCCATTACAAGTACACGTGTCAAACAGAACACACCATCATATGCATAATTTATTTTCACATTATATTAATACTTTGCACCATAATTTTACTCTCACATTTTGGTGCAAAGTGGGATATGGTTACTGTTTGGTTTATAAAGCACCAACATAATTCTGTTTTGGTTTATAAAGCACCAACATAATTTTCTTCCCCTGTTTTGATTACTATTGCATCAATTCAATGATGGAAACCAATTCATGGTTACTGTTTGGTTTATGATGATTGTCTAATTACCATATTCATGCCAAGCAACAATTTTGATGTTAATTTAGATAACTAATCCAACGAATAGTTATCTAAATTAATATAGAAGTTTGATTATGCTATTGTACATAATTGTTTAAATTGTCATTCAATGAACCCAACGGTAAATTGATTGACAATTTGAACAAAGAAGTGTAAGCATTATTTGCATATTTGTCATATGTTCTGCCCAACGGTGATATGTGATTTATATGTATGCATGATATGTCTATAGGATTTTAATAATTTAATTGTTTTGCTTGACCAACGTTAGGTTGACAATTAAATTATGAATTTATCAATAATTTCATTGTGTTCTAATTAGATTATATGTTATTATTGTCCTTATTGTACCCCTTAATTGTTTTGATTTTAATGATTAAAGAGCCTAATTACACTGATACTGAAATTTCAGCCCCTTTGGTCGGTCATACTGGCTTACTTTCCTCCATTGAACCCCTTAATGGGATGAACTATTCCTCATGGATTGAGCAAATCAAAATAGCACTTGGAGTGATGGAACTAGACTTTGCATTAAGGGTTGATCGCCCTCCTCCCTTAACCGATAAATCTACGGTTGAGGAAAAACGTGTTAACGATCAATGGGAACGATCAAACCGCATGTCTCTAATGATCATCAAGAACTCCATTTCCTTAGCCATTCGTGGAGCAATCCCTGATTCTGAAACGGCAAAAGGATATCTTAACTCGGTTGAGGAGCAATTCAAAGGCACCTCTAAAGCCCATGCTAGTACACTTATCCTTAAAATGCTCACAACTAARTACGATGGAGTTAATGGCGTACGTGAACACATATTGATAATGAATGACATGGCCAACAAACTTAAAAGTATGGACATGGAAATATCCGAAGGCTTCTTAGTTCACTTCATTATGACTTCCCTTCCGGCTCAATTCGGGCCTTTTAAAATTAACTATAATACTCAAAAGGAAAAATGGAAGATGAGTGAACTAATAGCCATGTGTGTTCAAGAAGAGGAGCGTCTAAAAATAGAAAAACCTGACGTTGCTCATCTTACCACCACTACTCCCAATAAGAGGAAGTTCAATGATGGCACAAAGTTTTCACTCAAGGGGAATAAATCAAATACTGGTCCGAACAAGTCTCAGAAAACTGGTCCTAGTACAAGTGGAACTAAGAGAGAGGCCAAGTGTAGATTCTGCAAGAAACTTGGTCAYACTCAGCACGACTGCCCAAAATTTAAGGAGTGGTTGGCAAAGAAAGGTACACCTACTTATTACATGATTTGTGAATCTTTTTCAATTAGTGTGCCTTCTAATACTTGGTGGCTAGACACGGGATCAATGATTCACGTTACTAATTCATTACAGGGATTCCATACAAGGAAAATACTGGAAAACAACCAACGGACCGTTAAAGTTGGGGACGGGAATGTAAAGAAGGTTGAAGCTATTGGTAGTATGGTGTTGTTATTACATGGAGGACATGAAATGGTTCTTCAAAACACTTTGTATGTACCTACTATAACTCGCAACTTAATATCTGTATCTAAACTTAAATATGATGGATATAGCTTTTACTTTAATGATGATGATGATGATGTTATTATATATCGTCATAAATTGGTTGTTGGTTTTGGTAGATTGGAGGGTGACCTCTATAAACTAAACCTTGATAATAAATTTTCGGAATCGTTATTACCTATGAATGTGAATGTTTGTGAATGTAGTGATAAAAATAAGAGAAAGAGAGATAATGAAATATCATCCCGATTAT